AATCAGAAAGTGGCCAACACCCTGCAAATAATCAGACTTTTTGGATTCTATTTTTATCATAACAGTTTTGTTATTGTTGACACTGTTATGAAGCTTATCAGTCAGATGAGATGAATGTGATTGTACTTTTGTGAATACAAGCCAGGCAGGTTTAACAACCAGGGAAAGCTGCAAGTTCTCTGCAGTGGTAGTTAGATTTTCTAAACTTTTGAACAGGAATACACACTTTAATGCACAACATCAACTAGTATAATAAAAGCCTAAAGGGTCCTTGTGTTCAAAATAGTGGTTCAAAGTTATAGTGTGCTCTTGTGTTTATCCCTAAATAGATTTTTATTTATTCAAAGACGAGACCTATCGCAGAACACGTACATTTCCAGCATAGGAATACAGTGTACATGGCCCATAGAGTGAGAGGAGCAGAGGGGGGTGTTTGGGGCCCCCAATCAGGACATTCTGGCACTGCAAAGTGTTTAATCTAAGTCCCACTTCTTCTGCACACCCCAGATCCAGAGTGGGCATCCTACAAGCTGGGTGTTTTTGTGTGTCTGAACTGCTCCGGCATCCATCGCAGCCTGTACAGCCGGGTCAAATCCATAAAGCTGGACTTCTGGGAGGATGAACTGGTGGAGGTATGGTCCCCACTTCTGTTATCATTGCTATGGTAATAATAACGTTATTCAGTTCAGAGGGACAAACTGTCTGTGTCTGTGTGTAATCTTCACACGTGTCTTTTTTTTGGGATCTGGGAAGTTCATGAAGTCCAATGGCAATGCCAGCGCCAGAGCGCTGTATGAGAAAGCTGTTCCAGTGTACTACTATCGGCCCCAGGAAAATGACTGTGCGTAAGTAACTTTCCAGAATGATGACATTCTTTAGAAAACCGCCTGTGTGCTAAACATGTGTGCTGACGGAGCAATGCCACCATAAATAGAGAGAAGTGCAACCACTGACTGTAGAAGTGAAATATGGATGAATATCTGCTGCTCGATCAAAGCTTAATGGATCATGTTCTTGTGGTGATACTGCAGCTCATGTTCACGAGTTTCTGCGTTTTTGCCTTTGAACCGCAGAGTCTTAAGAGACCAGTGGATTCGAGCGAAATATGAAAGGAAGGAATTCACAGGAGAAACCAAGTATCCACCAATTTCATACACCACAGGTGATGTTCTCACTGTTTTCTGACACACGTGTCTTACTGTAGAACACCAATCATCATCGTCTGTTGGCATAAAGCTGATGTGGTTCCTCATACACATGCAGAACTGTGCAAGAAAAACCTGTTGTTTGCATAACAAAACCGCCAGGAAGTGAAAGCTGGCCAGACTGTCACGCTTTGCACAATGTTGCAACGGAGCGGTGACTCAATTTAATTTTTCCTGGATCTGACACCAGGTTTCTACGAGGGGTTGCTGTGGAAGAAGGGGAAAGAGAACTCCCAGTTTCTGAAGAGGAAGTTTGTACTATCAGAGCGAGAATTCACCCTGACCTACTACAACAAGGAAAATGTGAGTTCCTAGCAGCTCAGACACAATTGAACTACGCGTTGTAGGTCTGCCAGGTGGCCGTGAGCTGATCCCAGTCTGATCATGAGGATCTTTCCAGGGATGTGCTGCCCGTGTGGTATTTAGTTGCAAAAGCATAAAAAATACAAGAAGCAATACACTGCGAAGCACATAGGTGCTTTGAGATAAATGCTAACGTCAGCATGCAAACATGCTCACAATGACAATGGTTATTTTTTAGAAAGTATAATGTTTACCATGTTCTCCAACTCGGTTTTGTGTGCTAACACACTAATATTTACTAATACCAAGTATCAGATCATAAACCAGTATTGGACAAACCTGCTGGTGGCACTAGAGGGAAGGTCAGGGGATCACTGAAGTTATTACATTTCATCCTCTGGGGACCATGAATGTCTCCACCGAATTTCATGGCAATCCATCGAATAGTTTTTGAGTAATTTCAGTGGAGACCAAAGTGGTGGACTGACCGACCGACATTGCCATCTCTAACCACGCTGCTATCATGGCTTAAATGAGTGCACAAGCAGCTGCATGTTAATTGTATCCAGTTGTTGCGTCCTTTCTACAAACTCTGATGTGCTATGTGTTGTGATCCAGGAGTCCAAAGGCCCAAAAGCTGTAATCTCCATCAAGGACCTAAACACCACCTTTCAACCAGAGAAGATTGGTCATCCTCACGGGCTGCAGATCACCTACCAAGACGACAATCACACCAGGAACCTCTATGTTTATCACGAGAGTCCTGAGGTGGGACTGCATGATCATCCAAAGTATAAATAACATTAACCAGCAAGTCTTATACTGATTGTCATACTATAGGGCTGTGGAGAAGCTCAGGGTCTCTTCTTCTACTCTAGGAAATAGTGACGTGGTTCAACGCCATTCGTGCCGCTCGCTATGCGTACCTGAAGACAGCGTACCCGACTGGAAGCGACGAAGAAGTGAGCATCAAACCTTCTCAAAACCAAAAAAACAGACAAAATGTTGATGCACTTTAAAATGCACTCTAAATATTTTTAGAAAAATGGCAGTTTATTGAGTGTAAACGTTCACTTTCAGCAGAGTCAACAGCAGTAAGAACGGAAACTTGCCTCTTTTTTTGCTTTTATGTTTATGAGCCTAACACTCGTGTACCTTTACACCTCTTTGTCAGCTGGTACCGAAGATAACAAGAAACTACCTCAAAGAGGGATACATGGAAAAGACGGGGCCATTGGTAAGTTAGTAAAGAAGAAAAAGTGAAACATCTTTTTCACACAGTTTTTATATGATTTAATTTTTTATTATTTGTGCCGCTACCAGCAGAGTTAGAGTTGTTTGTCACAGTAGTAGAAGTACAATTGATTGTGTGTTTCGGTTCCTCTTACATATTCAAACACCCTTGATTTACATTTTGGTAAGAAGACATTGGTGTGAAAGAAGAAGTTAGGGGATATAAATGTTTCAATTTAACTGTCATTTGTCATGTGAGGCATTAAATGTGTTTTTTTAACAGCAGAAGGAGTCGTTCAAAAGGAGGTGGTTTATTCTGGACTCTCAAAACAGGAAGTTGTTGTACTTCAAAGGCCAGCTGGTGAGGACTTCTCATTCTATTCTCGATGCTGTGTGGATGTTTGTCAAGCACTGTAACCACCATTATGTTTGAAATGTGTTTTCATGCTTGTGAACGTAGGATGCGGAGGAGTTGGGGGTCATTTTCATCGGCACAGAGAGCAAGGGTTACTCTGTGAAGGAGTGCGTCCCAAAGCACGCCCGGGGAAACAAGTGGAAGTGTGGCGTTACCGTCGAAACGCCCCAGCGACAGTTTCTCTTCATGTGCGAGGAGGAGAGGGAACAGAGAGAGTGGCTGGACGCCCTCAGACAGGTCCTCTCCAGGCCCATGGCACCGCAGGATTATACCAGTAAGCAAGGCTGGTCAACAAACACCTCAACAATGTACAGGAGACCCGGATATGTAAATTATTCACATGACGTAATAGTCATTCCTGTCATGTGAAAGCTTAAACTTTTTGCATTTTGTGTCTGTAATGGAGTGTGAGAGGATGGATGGATGCATGTTAACATAGCATAGGAACAGACAGGGTAACACCAAAATAGTAGGATTCATCCTCTGGGGACCAGGAATGTCTGTATGAAACTGTATGGCAATACATCCAATAATTGTTGAGATATTTCTGTTTGGACCAAAGTGGTGGACAGACCAACGAGCAGACTAACATTTGCACGCATGCTACTAGTTTGCCTAATGAAAACAGCAGTGTTACTCAGTTATCTTGGTTCCCGGCTTCAGATTTTTCTCCGCAAAGTTAGTCCAAACAAAGCACCTGTACTCACTTATTTGTGAGAAAGTTTGTTATTTTCAACCGTTGCATTATGCATCCGTATGACCACCGCTATAATACTCCTTGTTTCTCATTCCAGTTGAAGCCAACATTAAGTATAAAAGATGAACAACAGAGAGGTGTGCCAACAGGATGATGGGGAGAAGACTATTGCTGCACAACGGATGAACATCTGCTGTCACAGCACTCTTATCAGAACTCTCATCTTTGTGTTGTGGTGATACATCTAGACTCTGTGCCACAGTATGGATTTGAGACTTTCATCCACTCACGTTAACTGACACCTGAACTGATGCTCAATCTCAGACTTCAGAAAATACTCTGTCATTGTGTAAAATCCACTCTTATGACCAAACGTAGACATATAAGATCAACACTGTTATATTGTAAGAGAAGATTATGCTGGTTAAATATCATGCTATTTTTATGATGTTTCTTACTTTTTTACATTTTGAGTTACGCAATTAATACGCATTTAATTTAACATTTTGAACTTGTTTCATGAAATCATGCAGAAAAATAAACAGCCTTTTCTAAATAAAATGTGTGGATTAGTTAATATATACTATCTATTTTTATCTATTATAATATATGGAATATATTGTAATAAAAGACGGTATACCATCTTTTATGGTTTCGTCTTTTTAGCAAACATGACTTAAGCAACACTTTTATTGCAAATGGAACTTGAGAAACCATGAGTATGTTACAAAAGGGCCTTTAGCTTTAGTGCAACCATGTGTTCATTATTATTATTACCATAATTGTGAGCTGCTCAGTGAATCCACATAAGATTGCGACTTTAGCTGATGGATGTAAATTTTAAAATGTAGTCATCTCACCACCTCTGAGTATTTTGCGTTCCTCTTTTTGATCTTGAATAGTATGTTTGTAATGTATAATAATCAGATTCGTTATGGCCAAACTTTTAACCGGACATGCAAAGACAGAAAATGTAAAATTAAACAAACTATAAATATTCCAAAACAAACAAGGTGCTGTCCATAAATTGAAAACCCAAATGATAATAACATCAAAAGAAATAAAGTTTTTTCTATTGTCATTTATTAACTAATTAATTATTTTATTGTAGGTTATTTCCACTTCACTAATGTCACAGATAAGAATATCCCGGCATTTTGACTAAATATGTAATAAGAATATACTCAATATAAATCCTTCTCTTTGGCGCCAGAGAGCAGCATAACGCGTTTTTAAAAGTCTAGTTGAAGTTTGTCCTGTATGACTCGCTGTAGTTGCCGGTGTGTTGGAGGTCGGGTTTTGCCCATGAAACGTCTACTGCGAAATGCTATGCAAGCGCCGAAAAGAGTGTGATTAACATGCAATTACAGAGACATGTGCTTCACGCTACTGTTTAAATGACATTACTCCTCAGCTGATTGGTCACAAGTTGAGAAGAAGCGCGTGGTGAACTCGGAGGAGCTCCTAAAACTGTCCGTCCGTTTTGTCCTACAAAGGCGCGGAGGGGTTTGACAGCGGCAGCACTTCAGTGCGCAGGCCTGAGGTTAGGTGACCTGCTGGAGGAGGAGTACGGCTGTCTAAGGACTACATGAAACAATAAAGACTGTCTTTAAAAAAGCTAAAAACATGAGGAAGGACGTGAGGATACTACTTGTAGGGGAACGTAAGTAGCAGGTGTCTTTAAATCCCGAAGCCGTTGAATGCTTCATTAGCTAGCTAACATGCTAATGGTGGAGCTAGAAGCTACAGTTAGCAGATGCACCTAGCGACTGTTTCCATGTGTTGATACTCAACACATTGCTTAATCATAACGAGACATGATATTAGGAAGAGGCTGCCAGAAAACTGTAGTTTGAATAGTACGACATGGCAGCTGCCCCATGTGTGCATGTCCACATATGAAAAGCATTGTGAAGGTGGTGTTTACTGCAAACCTTGGTTAGACTGTACCTGAATACCTGATATGAACTCTGTAACAGAAAAAAGACCAGGAAAAAATAAGATTATAGATCATAAAGTTGCTGATAAATGTCCTGTTAATCAACTAATTGTTCCAGCTATAGTTGGCACAGAGATGCGCTGCATATTAACACAGAATTATGGGTAAATATTATGTAATTACAATATCTTGACTTTCCCAGGACCCTGGAGTGAGGGCAGAATTAACCTGTTTCACCTGGTCTGTTTGCTCTCTTTGAAGCATGCATATGTGTTGTCAGTACTATTTATATATTTCACTCATGGCTGTGCAGGTTGGCCTACGCTGCCACATTAGGGGAGTTGGTACTGACTGTTCCTGAGAGAGTTACAGCCAAAACTCAGCTCTTAACTCTCTTTAGCTTCCGTTAACTCACTTTAGCTTCCGTTAACTCTCTTGAGCTGCTCTTATCTGTGCCCGGTCACTTAAGGTATTACCCAGACCATTCAATAGAAATTGTAGCGAGGTCACATGTCAATGACCCAGTGTCAGTGAAAGACGTGTGTGATGTCAGATTGTAATAAAATCTTTTTTTTTGCCCGTACAGCCAAGGTGGGGAAGACTTCGCTGATAATGTCTCTGGTCAGCGAGGAGTTTCCCGATGAGGTACGTATCAACGGGCAATCAGATGATGGATACGCTGGAAATCATCCCGGCAGCTGATACATTTTTAGATTTGTCTGAAATTAGAATCTACAGAGTAAAAATATGAAAATACAGGACTTTATGTAATATTTCTTGAGGCTTGCTTGTCAGATGTTTCGATCATTGTCCTCTGTCTTCCAGGTTCCTCGTCGAGCTGAGGAGATCACCATCCCAGCCGATGTCACCCCAGAGAGGGTACCCACACACATAGTGGACTACTCGGGTACGCCCTCCCTCTACTAAACACACACACACATTAAACATACACTTACTACGATTTGTGCTCTTAGCTGCCGATTGGAACCATTTGTATTCAAAAACATTTCAACCTAAATTCTTCAGACCTGTTTTATTGTTGGAAACAGAAACACAATTCAATTTGAATCATGTTTAGATACGATTGCTAATGCTAACACCACTTATATACCTTTTAATCAGAGGATGGTTTTAATCAAATTGAATTTGGACTGTACTGATGTGCCTTTTTGACACATTTTAGAGGCCGAACAGTCAGACGAGCAGCTGTACCAAGAAATATCAAAGGTTGGTTTCCCTTAATTCTCACTCATCTGTGCTTGTCGTGTCTGTAGCTCATGTATTAATATTGGTATTTGTCTTGACAGGCAAACGTTATCTGCATAGTTTACTCGGTCAACAACAAGAAGTCCATTGAAAAGGTGAGCATGGTTTCTCTCTGCGCTCAGACAGTTAATCAAATACATAACTGCAGTACGTCGTCATCTTTATCTGAGGAAATTAATTTGTGTTTTTGATGAACGTTTGTGCGGCTCCGGTGTTTGAATTTGTGCTTTACTCCACTAGGTGACAAGCCACTGGATTCCACTCATCAATGACAGAACGGACAAGGATAGCAGGTGTGTGTTCATGTCATTTTGATCGATGTGTGCTTACTGTGGGTCACGTCAGCTAGATGGTGCTGCATCTGCAAGGTTGATACCAGAGATGGCTAGAGATGCGTTTAAGATCATTCAAAAGAGGCCGTTACATTGTTAAACTGACGCTGACTGAACTTCATGCCAAACTATGTGACATATAGAACAATTAATCCTGTTTTTGCCATTGCTAGTTATTGTAAACTACATGAATGAATATATATTTGTTGATAAGATGTCATCAAGCTGATAAAAGCTAATCGTTCATCATCAAATGTCTTGTTTTGTTCAACCAACAGTCCAAAACGTAAAGATATTCAGTTTAAAACCTGAAAAAAAACAGCAAATCACTCTGAAGATCCTGCAACTAGAGGGTTCTTGTCATTTTTGTCTAAAATATTGCTAAAACGATGAATCTATTATCAAAATATAGCTGCCTATTATTTTTCTGTCGCTCAGCTAACTGGTGAAGTGACTGACCGCTGTAGCTCTATAATGCAGTGATGAACAGGCTTTTTTTTCTTCAGGGTACCATTGATCCTGGTTGGGAACAAGTCTGACCTGGTGGAACACAGCAGCATGGAGACCATCCTGCCAATCATGAATCAATACCAGGACATCGAGACCTGCGTAGAGGTGAGAGATCAATACAAACATGCCTATAGAAACCTGTTGGATCCATTTAGACAGGGCTGTTTGGAGGTTCCACTCCGTTACATGTCAAAGAAAGTACTTTGGTGAAGCACTCGAGAGCATGAAATATGAAATCTAATACGAGCAGTGGCTGGCTGCTCTCCAGCTCCTGACTGCACTTCTACTCTGAGTCATTAATAGATTTATGCTCCGAGGCCACGGCCTGCTGACTGATGAACTGTGAGTGTGTCGAGAGGCCTGGCTGTCACGGAGGAAGCCGCTCGCTGCGTTACTGTTTTCAAATTTTCCCTCTCGTCACACGAGACGGCTCAGTCGTGTCGTCCTCGGCTGGATTAGTTACAAGGTTAGAAAGAGGATGTGAGAGCTGGACACGTGACATGTGGACCAATGTTTTACTGCTGGCTCACTGTTCCACCAGGTTGTGTCCTGCTTCTCTGAGTTACTTTCATCTCTGTCTCTCTTCATCAGCGACAAAAGAAGTATTCAAATATATGTCGAGAATATAAGTGAATAATAGAAATAAGGAATGAGAAATATAAGAAATACGTGCATCAAACGCATACAATATACAACCACGGTGTAAATAAGTTTTCACACACACACTCACACACACACACACTCACATGTGCTTTATTTTCTTTCCTCAGTGCTCTGCCAAAAACCTGAAGAACATCTCTGAGCTCTTCTACTACGCCCAGAAGGCTGTTCTCCACCCGACCGGACCCCTGTACTGCCCGGAGGAGAAGGAGGTGAGATCTGTGCAGTAGACGTTGCAGATGTGTAAAATGGTCACTGTTGAAGTCACGATGCACCGATCCGATATGTTTTTAAATAGTGTCTTTGTCATGCCATTTTAATGTAAACCTTATAATATGAGCCTGCTACCCAACTCACAGAAACCCCTGGTCTCACACTACCTTTACATCAGAATAAACTCCACTCCATGAGGGATACAGATATTATATTTGGGGGGGGGGAAAGAGAGCACAGGTATCAGATTTGGTTTTGGAGTCATATCCAGAGAGAAAAAGTATGATTGTTGCATCCCTAAAGTAAAGCTTAATGTTGTTCATGCAACCGCCTCAGTGATAATGTTTCCTCTGTGTTACAGTTGAAGCCTTCTTGCATAAAGTCTTTAACTAGAATCTTCAAAGTGTCTGACCTGGACAACGACGGCATCCTTAATGACAACGAGCTCAACTTCTTCCAGGTAATGTTTTCACGACTACATAAGATTTAGTCACTTGGCAGGTGTTAACATACCTGAAACCTGAAACAAACATTCTTAAGGTGCACGTCAATGTCTCTCTTGTTGTGTTTGTCCACAGAGAACATGTTTCAACACCCCGCTGGCGCCGCAGGCCTTAGAGGATGTAAAGAATGTGGTCAGGAGGAACATGACGGACGGAGTCACAGACAACGGACTTTCACTTAAAGGTCAGACACCCTCCCGTTTCCTCTCCTCTGTCCTCCACATCATTACTTATCGTTCTTTCTTCTCTGCTTATCTCTTTAATCCCTTTTAGTTTATGAAAATGACCCTGTCCTCTCTCCTCTCATTGGCTCTTTGTTGTAGGCTTCCTGTTCCTGCACACTCTGTTCATACAGCGAGGCCGACACGAGACCACCTGGACGGTGCTGCGGAGGTTTGGCTACGACGATGACCTGGAGCTCACACAGGAGTACCTGTTCCCCATGTAAGTGCAGACTGAAAGGTTATGTGTTTTTATTGCTATGTACGAGGTACAGTGGAGACGGGAAAGAGGTAGCTTTTACTTTCTGATGATTTCACAGTGTTGATGATACGAGGGTTTATTATGATGAGTTGTTCCTCATTTTGATATCGCAGATCATTTCCTCCTCTCGACTGAATTGTTGTTGTTGACTGATGTGACTCGCAGTGCTTCAGGCAGATTGTTTCCATCTTTGTCGCCATTGAAAGCAGAATCCGAGTCCCTCAGTCGAGGCTCCGGAGCTCTCTGTTAACTGATCGTTTCTGTCCGTCCCTGTGTCACAGGGTAAAGATCACCCCAGACTGCACCACAGAGCTCAACCACAACGCTTACCTCTTCCTCCAGAGTGTCTTTGACAAACACGACAAAGTGAGTGGTTGAAGATTTAGAAATGGAAATGGTGCCACTTTTCTGCAAAATGAGTTAAAAGAAATTCTGTTTTTAATGCATTGTACCATTTGTGAGTCAACATATTTGCCCTTGCTGCTGTGATCCAGGACAGGGATTGTGCGCTGTCGCCTGAGGAGGTGAAGGACTTGTTCAAAGTGTTTCCCTACATGCCCTGGGGTCCGGATGTCAACCACACGGTCGGCACTAACGAACAGGGCTGGATCACATACCAGGGATACCTCTCCCAGTGGACGTGAGTGTGGCACACATCTATTAATACACACACACACACTCACACACGTCTACTGCAGACACAACCTGGAAACAGTCACAATACTGGAGGACATGCATGATTATGTGGAAAACACAGATCATTTTTCCAAAGTCTCATGCTGACTCATCATGTTTTTTTCTGTGGTAGGTTAACAACATATTTAGATGTACAGCGCAGTTTGGAGTACTTGGGTTATCTTGGCTACTCTATCATCTATGAACAGGAGTCCCAAGCTGCTGCCATCACAGGTAAGAGGTCCTAATTATATTCAACTCTATTTTCTATTTAAGTTTTTCTTTTCGTTAAAAGTTTAATACAAAAGAAATGCATGGATTTTACGGCACGTGGCCGTTGATCAGGTTTATTCTTGCTTGTGAAAAACATGCATTCCCTGTTTTTTTCCAGTGACGCGTAACAAGCGCATCGACCTGCAGAAGAAACAGACCCAGCGCAGCGTCTTCCGCTGCAACGTCCTGGGCGACCGAGGCAGCGGGAAGAGCGGCTTCCTCCAAGCTTTCCTGGGCAAGAACCTGGAGGTCAGTGGAGATCATGGCCGTAAAACCCTCCGTTTTGATTGTAGCAGGACGGCCCAAAGTAAAACAAACAAAATGCAATGTCGATGTGAGCACTTTGTTAAGCTGCTTGTAATTTAGTCAACTTCTGGAGTTGGAGCAAACAAACCGGGGTCGAAGGGGAACATCTTCTAAACATGTAAATAGTGTTGATCAGTGTCGGTTATTGACCTCGTTTGTTGTGCACCACAGGGACAGAGGCGGATTAGAGAAGACCACAAGTCCCTCTACGCCATCAGCACGACCTATGTTTACGGTCAGGAGAAGTACCTGCTGGTAAGAACCATTTACTGTTACATCATCTGGGCGTTTTACACTGCAAAATATTAATCCCTCCTTCTAACTCCGTCTCTCCCGCTCTGTCTCGTCCTCACACGTCCAGCTCCATGAGGTGATGCCAGACTTTGACTTCCTGTCAGAGGCGGACCTAGCCTGTGATGTGGTCTGCCTGGTGTACGACATCAACAACCCACGCTCTTTTGAATACTGCGCCAAAGTGTACAAGGTATGTATGCTCATCAGAGGCACCGAGGCTTTAAGGTCCTGCTACATACGGTCTAACATTCGTCGGTTGTGTTTGGCAGCAATACTTCATCGATAGCAAGACGCCATGCATGGTGATCGCCGCCAAGTCTGACCTGCATGAAGTAGGGCAGCACTACAGTCTCTCACCGCACGAGTTCTGCCGCAAACACAAGCTCCACCCACCCCAGCCGTTCACATGCAGCATGACCGACGCACCCAGCAAAGACATCTACACAAGACTCACCACCATGGCCATGTACCCGTGAGTATTGAACTTCTTTGTGGTCTCCTGTAGTTAACCCTTCACACCTCTGTGAGTGAACCTTATCCACCATGCACACCCGGACCTGTGTGTGCGTCTAATCCACTTTAAAGCCACTATATGTTTTCCATAGTGTATAATTGTAGTGTATGTATTTGGGAGCGAGTCCTCTTCACGAGGTCCACCATGTTGCAGCGCCATGTTTTATGCAGTAGCCCAGAATGGACAAACCAAACACACTTCACGTTTTTGCGTTACCTGAAGGCCACCGTAGTTCTGTGACACGCTTGGAAAGGGGAGGGGTCAGCAGAGGGGCGTTCAGTTGGTTGCAATCTGCGAAGTCGCCACTAGATGTCACTAAATCCTACACACTGCTCCTTTTAAGCTGTCAACCCAGCACAGGACATCAATCCTGAGGCGCTCTTTTAATATAAAATTTAGGTACGCATCACTTCTTGTAGAAAATAATTTACACATTTAGCATTATTAATGACCAGGACTACAGACATTCATGATACACATACATCATACCAACCTTTATGAAATAATTCATATGACGATAAAGAGCCAGTTTCACAAAGATCAAACTAATAGTCACAGTTTGCAGTGAAGACTTCTTTTAATCTTCAAAAGAAATTCATCAAACCACTCGGCTTCCAAAACAAAACAGCTGACGACGTCTTTACCCTTAAGAATTGATTTAGTTGTTTTGTGACTGATGCCTCCCTTTGTGGTTTTCCTCTCCTTGTTTACTCACCTTTAGGTTTAGACTTTGACAGTTCATCATTATAGATATTTCTGTGTCAATGATTTAGTTTAATTTGTCTCTGAGACGAGGAAGTGAAGGTAAATGGCAGCAGTGCAGGTTTCAGCTCAGAGATGTAATATGAGTGTGGATCTGGCCTCCTCTTCCTCCCTCTCCTCTCTGTGTGTTGTTTGGTTCATGTTGTCTTTCTGTGCTGGTGAAAACACGCATTTTTGTGTGTCTTTCCGCAGCCACGCCCGTCTCCGCTGCATGTGCGCCTCCAACAGGTGCACATATTGCCTGTGTCAGAACCTCCTCAAGTTGGAGCTGCTGCGCAGTATTAAGGCCCAACTCCGCAGGGTCATGTTCAACAGGTTCATATGTAGAATAAGCTCTAGTGTTTTAACATAGACTCATTCCTCCTCCTTTTTACCCAAGCTCTCCAACACCGGTGATGGTGACAGCTCCTCTCTCCTTCAGTGCTCTCCTGTGGTCAGGGTTACACTGCATATCCACTTCAGGACACAAGGGACAATAAAATGTGAATGAACGCGACGGTAGCGATATCCTGTTGTTCAGGATAAATAGTACGGATTTCCATTTGTGAATAATTATAATACTAATGTGATTGCTTTTGGAGAAATTCTCCTTTTGCTTCGCTGTGTTGCCACATAGCCATCATTCGTAGGGTTTCTCTCATTTGTTCAGCTGTACCTCAGCAAGGTGATGCTTGTTGACGGTGATATTTGGTATAAACTCAGTTCTTTTATATATCTATAATCTATCCACGGTAACTCCTACCTGGCTGAGTAAAGTCAAGAGTCAGTCCTACTGTAAGAACTGTTGTGTTTTTAGCAACAGAGTTATTTTTGGGGTAGGGAAAAAAATGATCACACTGGTTTGATATTACCCAACCACCGGACTGGATCAGTGTACCAAAGTTCACCACTAGGTGTCGCACTTGACACAAGGTATTTAAAATTTCTTTTAACTTAAATATCATTTAGTACGATATGTTCTTTGTGCTCCTGTATATTGATGAACAGCCAATCACTGTCGACACAGTGAGAAGGTTCACTGATCAACACGACGTTGTAGCTCTCGCTGCTTCTCTGAGCGTCATTTTTGGGAGGAACCCTCGATAGATACGAAATGCTTTACAGCAAAATGAAAAGTGAGCTCAGATTTCAGTCGTTCTTTTTTTTTTTTTTTTTTTTTGTCGTGTGCATAAGTCCCGTGGGTCACGTGAGGTGTTTTGGTCTCTGCCGCAGCTCCAGCCAGCCCCCCTGCTCTCTGTACGCTGTGACACAGCGAGGTGTGACCGCGCTAACATGCAGCCTGCTAGCCAGGGAGGTGACTGTGTGTGTGGGTCGTGCATGGTGTTATTTACTTGTGCAGTGCAAATTAACTGCTAATACTAACCCCACATACAAAACACAAATGTGTTGTAAACTTAAAAAACATTTTTACTTCATTCAGAGGAATAAATAGAAGTAGATATCTCTGGATAGTTCTGAGTATATTTATATTTGTAAATTATGTTATTATGACTGTTATGAAGCATTTGAAAATTAAAAAAAAGTACGTCAAAAAAAATTAGGGTGTGAATTTTGACAATTAAGTTTGAGCTATGAGCACTTTTTTTAAGAGTTGTTCGCTCCTTCCTGTCCTGCAGTGGATATGCAAACTTTAAATCTTGACTAACGGACACATTATTTGCTCAGAGAATGAGAGAAACCAGCCGTTCTCTTTAGTTTGTGCTGAAAACGTCATCGATGTCTGCATGTTTGATATCCGATTTATTTTGAATCACATAAAAGTATTAAAATTCTTAATTGTCTTCATGGCACCAGCCTTATCAAAGAGTGCTTGACTGATTGTCTATGGTGTTTTCAGTCTCCCTTCGTCTTCACTTCCATTCCTAATAGTGAAGTCTACACCTACAGGAGACTTTTATTTTGAAAAGCACCGTTGTTTTTGTACATCTATTATAATACAAACCGCTGTCCACTTGTTCTCCTTTGGGTTGAGACTTCGTAAATGTAACAGGCTGATGTTTAAAATCAAAATGTGTTTCTTTGATGTTTAATTGGATTGTATTGCACCAATCACCAGTCATTTCATCCTGTTTTTCCCTATCTTGTATTTCCTGTCTTTGTGTTTTTTCCTTCGAGTCTATAGGTGTTCAAATGCATGTGTTTGGCTTCCCCTCTTCCTCTTCCTCTTGCACGTGTTCACCTGCTGCTAATCTGTTTGCCGTTGTGTTGGCTCATCTGTTCTCTGCCTCTCTGCATAACCACAGGCATGCCTCGGTGCTGAGCGGGGAACGGGTCACTCATCATCTCTTTGTCTTCATGCTGTGTTTTTAACCTCTGTGGGTTGTTGGCACTATTAATAGCATGACATTTAACGAGCCAGCCGTGGCAGCGCAAGGGCCCGACACACCACATTGAACGCCCAACGTGTTTTCTGAAGAGTGGGTTGATTGACTGGAAGTCGTCTTGCATTGAAATCTTCATCGGTCACAGAAGCTACAAAAGTGAATTGTGTCAGGAAACTAGTGATTTATTTTGGTTTGCTCTATAATTTGTTACCAATCAAAAAGTGACGTATATGACGATACAATGACCGTAAAATATGTAAGAGAAAGCAGAAAAGAACTGATTAACTGAATGAAGAGAAACTGGAAATATATTCCGTAAAGAAACTCACAATTACATATTCTGAAATTTAATTTACTCGAGATTCATGGCTCCACATTTTCAGCCTGGCTGCCATGTGGTGTGTACAGTCTGAAGTGTGTGTGTGTGTGTGTGTGTGTGTGTGTGTGTGTGTTTGACCAGGTATGCAGTTATGGTTGTTCTTGTGCTTTAATGGTTTGGGTGGAGGTCTGAGCTCCTGACTCTTCAGGATTGGTAGAGCTGAGTGATATGAATGAGATCACTCCATATTATTACGTTGCTAACGTACACTATGGTTGGTTTACTATTGATACTTGTGAAATTTCATCTGCCTAGAAGGATATAATTCGGCCAAGTAACTGAATCTCATTCAACCAAAGTCTCAATGATGTTTAGTCTCCGAGCACAATATCAGTTTATTATTATTATTATTATTATTATTATTATTATTCCAGCTCTACGGTTGATAAACAAATTAAATATTAGTATTTTTTTCACATTTTTGTCCAGAATGTGATGACATTTTAAAATTGTAAAACAAGAAAATGTGAATAATTTTTTACTAATATTAATGAAGATGTACTGCAGTACAAGCATTTATAGATCATCTATATAAATAGTGTCACATGGCAGTGTCAATATTGGAGCTAATCGGTTACTCAAACGACAGATAAATACTCTCTTAATAAATGTGAATATTTGCTGGTCTGTCAGGATAATAAACGTAATATATTTGGTGTTAAATCATTGGTCAGACAAAATGACACATTAGAAGACGTCTCCTCAGGCTAAACAGATTATTCACTAATGAAAATATTATATTAAAGTATCACCCAGCTCTACCTAGTGTGTGTGTGTGTGTGTGTGTGTGTGTGTGTGTGTGTGTGTGTGTGTGTGTGTGTGTGTGTGTG